CGGAGTTTAGAGTTAGAGATTTAGGCAGAGAAATTCTCTGATGAAATAAATTTTTCGACACTAAATGAGAATTGAAATGTTAACACTTCTTTTATTTGGAACATTAAGTTCAAAAAATTTAAGCTTCAGAGTTGAAGAAGTAGAAAACTTTTGTGTGAGGTAGTAATGCTCACTGAATAGGGCGGATATCGAAAATCGCTGTGGGATTTTATTTCCTGATAAATTGCAACAACAGTGGTGTTCTTTGAGGACTAACCTATTTGACTCATTAGTAACTGTTTCTTCGCGAACAATATGAGTGGGTTTTTAAGTTGAACATCTGCGAACCAGGACAAAGTCTGGCTTTACCAGTGGCGACAGACCAGTTGATATTCATTATCACTCGCAAAGTTCGTCGAACTGTTGGTTAATGATTGGCCTCGACTAAACCGACCTTGGCCCCTGCATGATTGTTTTCTTTGAAGACGAGAGCATTAGATACCAATGAGACCTTGTGTAACACATAACGTGAAGGAAATGTGATACACGTATGTGTATACGTATGCGTTTATGTATGTGTACGTGCGTGTGTGTGTACGTATGTGTATGTGTGTATTTATGTATGTATGTATGTATGTATGTATGTATGTATGTATGTATGTATGTATGTATGTATGTATGCATGTATGTATGTATGTATGTATGTATGTATGCATGTATGTATGTATGTATGTATGTATGATGTATGTATGTAAGTATATATGTGTATGTATGTATGTATGTAAGTATATATGTGTACGTATGTATGTATGTATGTATGTATGATGTACGTATGTATGTACGTATGTGTGTATGCATTTATGCGCGTACTGTGTTTGAGATATGTTGGTAACCCACTTCCTCGACGTATCGGTGTGTTTACGGATCTGTGTATATGAGTATCCGTTGGTGTGCGTATATAATATATATATATATATTTATCTATACGTTTATGTGCATATATATATACATGTATGACATCGAAGAATTTATATATATGTATATACATTTGTATGTACATATATATATATGCATGTGCCACATATATACTTGTCTGTATGTGTGTGGAGGTATGCATGTATGTGCATGTGTATGCGATATGTTGGTAGGCCACATATCGGTGTGCTTATGGATATGCGTATAAAGAATATCGGTTAGTGCGCGTATACATGTACACTATACATTCGTGTACATATATATATATATATATATATATATATATACATATATATACGCGCGCATGTATGCTTGCGTGTACGTCTGTGTGTGTGCGTGGTGTGTGTGTGAGTGTGTGTGTGTGTGTGTGTGTGTGTGTGTGTGTGTGTGTGTGTGTGTGTGTGTGTGTGTGTGTGTGTGTGTGTGTGCTCTCTGAAGTGCTTTTGTTGTGGGGCAAACGATAAGGACAAAACTGGTATGGCATTGAGAGGATGCGGAGCCAAGACCGCTGCCCACAGAAGACTCGGATAAGACCATTCCATACCCAGAAGATGCCTTGTTTGTCGAGTTCTATATGAATCCTCATCGTCGTCAGTGTTGAAAAGTTGATTCCGGGTGGCGGTATCAAGATGGCAAGTGAAAGCGAATTCACTCACCAGACGTTCTCAAGGACTTTGCGAAAACGACAGAAAACCTTGTGAAGCTGTGGTATGGGAATTACAACAGTAAGCGGTGCTTTGAGAGGCCGATCTGTTTGTGTCGAAGCCCCTTAATGTCAAGTACCATGACTTCCGATTATTGTCGAAATACTGGCAGCTTGTAATTGAGAACAATGAAAACCACTTTATGAACAGCTGTTAAAACCTACGCTTAAGAGGTTTACCAAAATGCCCGAACATCCTCGGCACTTCCGTGGAAAATTATTTGGGAAGAAATTAAAGTTAACATTCGCAAATAAGTGTTGCAGCCTTGACGAGCTATTAAGTTCTTAGTTGGGTTAGAATGCACCTATTGCAATGTATACATTTTGAGTGTAAACGGTATTTTTACCACCGGAATAAATGGACGCTAGTTACTAAGCGTCGATTGCCGGTGTATTATCTTATAAACTGATCTTATTTAACCAATGCGAGGTTGATATAGGTCTTCGTTGTCGTTGTCGTTGTTGTTGTCGTTGTTGTCGGTGTTGTTGCTCGGTAGCTTACCTTTCGGTGATTTCGCCTTCTTCAAATCCGTGCTGTTATGAGGGGGACTATGAGTTTTTTGGGATTGTTGGTGTAGTTTTCAGGTTATAATAATTTCCAGACAGCAGTTCATTTCCAAGTAGAAAAAACTTCCCAAAATTTAAGCATTCTGAAGAAAGCGGTTCCAGAAACAAATAGAAAAATAAGCATGTGGTGTTTTACCTGCGTGTAGCTACTCTGTGGCATAAAAGGCCGTTACACGGTAGACAGAAATTTTAGAAAGGAAAGAAGACTAGAAGAAGCAACAATTCTTCGCTTATCTTGGAAGATACAGATGTGTCTAGGACTTTGAATGAATTTACGCCAATGGAATATCGTTCCAGGGGAGCAGAAGTGAGCTATTGTAACAATTCTCGTCGAAGCTTAGCTTTCACACAGAAGGAAAGAGAAATAAGGGGGAGCGGAAGTGGCAACTACGGGAATATAGAGTCAGTGAAGTTCGATGAAAACTTACTGGTTTATACATAGATATTTTCATTCCTAGCTGTATAACGGTGGTAGACTGAGATTTCAATCATCTTCCTACTGTTTACGATGAGATGGTGGTCTTTGGACGTGCTGACCATCGTTAAATCATATAGAGGAGTTTTATCACTCAGAAAGTTTCCTAGTGCTATGAATAAACTCGCCGTGAAGAAATTCATTTTCAGAGCAGTAATTGGTCTTTATGTGGGCTACACTCGAGAATATCTCAAAAAGTCAGACAACAGGCAGCAACCTAAGAAAATCAGAAATATCTGCTCTCATTGGCATAAACTTCGGATTCGACTTCAGGCAGTTGAAGGAAAGGTAAGGTGAGGTTAATCTTTCGTTACACCGAACCTCATTGCTTCAGAGTCAAAACAAAAACTCATTAAGATGTCATAGAATGTTTTTTTTGTTCTGTACCAACGACAACAATTTAATAGCATCTGAAGCTGACCTCAACGTTTCCTTAAAAGCGGTAGGCAACATTGAATTTCCGGCCTAAGGAAAAGCAATAGCAAGACGGCCGACATACGTAGACATCATAACGGCATTTTCATTCACTTGTTACAGAAACTATCGCTCTCCATTTGTTTACATCATCTCACTGAATATATTCGATTCATCTACATGCTCTAAAATAACTTCTACCATCATTCCAGAAAAAAGAAATAAATCTTAAATAGAGCAAACTCTTGAACGAAGTTTTTTTTCCACACAACTTTTTTATAAAAACGGAGCCACTCGAGTATCAAAAAGTGCTCTCCGACGTCTGTGAATCTCCGTGCATTTCAATAAGAGGGTCCGAACTTTGTCTTCAGCAATACAAATCGCTCCTAAAGGGAGAAAATTTAGGGCTAGTTCGTGCAGAAAGATCCCTCATGTCCTGTAGGGAGTGTTGTTGACCAAACACTCGTAAATAAACCTCTCCACTAACAGCCCTGCTCAACCAGAGCAGGATTTCCACAACATCAAATGTTGGCATTAAATAATTGGAAAAGTAGCCATCAACGTGACCCAAATTTTTGATGTAAAAGTCATTGAAAATAAAAATATTAATGGAGAAGTTCCACTTCCAATTTTTTCAGTTTCACAGTCTTAGAATCAGAAGAGAGGCATTTCACTTGGAGACTACGCACGCCGATTTCTTCTCTGCAGGGCGAGCTGCAATCGAGAACATTAAGAAGACCATACGAGTCTTATTAGAAGACATCACAAACCAAACTTATACACATTCTTCTTGCAAGCTTTATGCCACAGGGAGAGGGCTTCATATTACGAAGGACATCGTGTACAGTCATTCCTCCCTGCGAGAGCGGCCAGAAATCATTTCGAAACTATTATCGGATTTATTCTTTTGTTTGTGCACTACAAACCTACTACGACTATCGTTCGAAAAAGTTGACAAACTGTAGTAATGTATAACCATTTAAACTAACTGGATGGCACAGTGATTTTGCCACTGAATGCGTATCATGGCATAGCACATATGGATGACACAAATAGTCGTAGCCTTGTTCTTTGATACAAACCACACCGACACATACGCACACGCACACGTGCATCTATATGTATATATATACATGCGAAAACGCACACACATGTAACACACGCGAACACACACACACACACACACACACACACACACACACACCACACACACACACACACACACACACACACACACACACACACACACACACACACACACACACACGTAGACATCAAGCCAGCCTGTGCGGCTGAGTAGTTCGGACCTACCAGATTTAATCCAGGTTTGTGAATTAGCCCGATGCTCTCCTGAAGCTAAACACTGATAGGCGATATAATGAACACAATTCACAGAACGTGAACGAGAAGGAAGGTGGTAGTAGCCGTGTGCCGTTAGAAAATAGAAGTGTACTTTTAGGAAGGCAATTTAAATTAGTGACAACCGAACTGGTCGCTGATGTCCACTAGTTCCACTCCAGGTTGGATTTAAACTATTGGTTGTGGCACAAAAACGCATATGCATTTTCAACAACTATCAGTGCCACTTTCTTCTGTTAAAGCTTAATTTGCTATTTTGACTTTCTATACTCATTGGGAAACTGTTAACAAACCATTTATTGACGAAGAACGACATTTATGTACCTTAGAATAACAATGGGTAGAAAACAGTTCACTGAGATTGCTCAAAAAGGATAATTTATTGAAGCACACATCCATCTAATCCATCTATTATATTTATAAGGTATCGTATAATTTGAACAAAATCGAGTTTCATAAACAGTTGAAACAATAGAGAGATCTAGAACCTCACTCCTCACACTGGCATCTAAAGAGTCCGATCGACTTTTATCCCCATCCACCGCCGTAAGGACCCCCCCATCCGCCGCCATAGCGACGACCCCATCCGCCACCGTAAGGACGGCCCCATCCACCACCGTAAGGACGGCCCCATCCACCACCGTAAGGGCGGCCCCATCCTCCACCCCATCCAAACTGTCGCTTCATGCGCAACGACGGTTCACTGAAAGAAATGCTTTAGTAACAAATATTTAAATGAATAACAAGGAAGTAATAGAATATCTAAAAGCTTTACCTTCCAGATTGTGCTGCGACTTCATCGTTATCAATAATGGATGGAATCAACTCAGCTGAAAGCACTGCCAACAAGAAGAACAACGTGTAGACTCCGATCAGATCCATTCTAAAGGAAATAAACGCTTAGAATTTTTTAGTGACATATTTCTCGAACACTTCAACCTCCACTGTACAATCTAGTGGATTTTTTAGACTTCCGCTGGTCAAGACGAAAAGCGGCACTATTGCTACATCGAAATTTAAAAATCCACTCGGAAACGAATAAAACCAATTAATACAATGCCGATTACAAGTTATTAGAAGAATAAGGACCGACATTCAAGTTTTTGTTCACTGTATGAAAGTGGGCGCGTGTGACGCAGTGGTCGGAGGCGCCCTGGAACACACACATGGGATCGTTCCCCACGCCCAGGACCCACCAAGTCTTCCATCCCTTCGGGGTTGGCAAAGTGGTACCAGACCTGTCTGGGAGGATAGCAACACTGGCTCGATACATCGGTAGGCCACCGCGAGTCATTATAAAGGCCAGAGACATTCAATCACCCCGAAGATGCTTAATGAAGTCGAATGCATGGTACATCTCTCTCGGATTGATCAACGCTAAGAGCTTTATCATTTTATCTTTTGTGTGAAAACTAGGAAGTATTGAATAATTGGAGATTATTTAATCCAGCCGTCGGCTACTGGCAAAAAGACTATGTTCCTTTGGAAGACATTCACAGTGGCAACACTTCGTGCTTTTCAATTAAGAGTCTTTATGTAAAATCATGATAATGGCTAAAAGAGATAGAATGCTAGCAATAGTGTGCATAATAATCAGATTTTATATGCGTTAAATAGCATAGCGGTCGTGGTGTTGACCGCCTTTGGTACCACCCCTTCGTTTTTTACACTTGGTTGTTGATGTTTTCGTTTCGAAACGTTACAACGCCGGTTTCATGAGCATTTTCCCATAAGAGACGCACCGGAAAACATTACCCCTTTGAAAAATGCCATTCCCACACCGTAATAGCGAACCGATATATTTTTCAACCTAGAAGCTACTTTGTTAGAGATCAGGATTAGGTTGTCTCCAACTGGAGAAGACCAGGTTCAAAACTAGAAGCGAGGATTCACTTTATTTGAGATTTCGTATACAAGTAATCATAATCGCGCCATCGCTTGTTAGTGTGCATGCGCACTCGTAAATTTTATCCTCCATGTCGCTTCGAGGCGCGCTAATTAGGGCTGCTTAGCAATAAGAGGTGTTCAGTGGTTCGATTTCGGACCTAAAGCTAACCAACGCTCCCGTCCTTCTAGGATCGGAAAATTGGTGTCCGATTTGTCTCTGAGAGACAAAAGCACAGTGCTTTGGTGCAATGGTAGGCCATCGCTAGCCATTATATGGGCCAATGATGCATCCAAGACCTTCGGGATGTTACGAACGGAGTTAATTGCACGCCGCGTTCCGATCAGTTTGATAAAAAGGATAAAGCGCTCTGCGTTTATAGTCTCTGAGGGATGCGTCATGCATTCGACTTCATTAGGCATCGTTTGGAGGTAATTGAATGCATATCTTCATTTTACAATGACTCGCAGTGGCCTGCCGATGTATCAAGCCAAAACTGCCGTTTTCTAATACAAGTTTGATATTAATTTGCCGACCCTGGAGGCTTGGTGGGCCATAGGTGCGGGGATCGATTTCACATGTGTGTCGTAGTGGCGTCTCCAACCACTGCGCCAGTGTGATAGCCGCTGAATTCTTTAGCTATTTTGCCTTTTTTTCTAAATTCTCAACAAACCCTATTTTTTATATGAAATGTGATGCATACTAATAGATAGCTGTCTTTGATGAAATATTTAACGCATTATTAATAAGGAAGTAGTACTGATGAATGCGTTAATCATGAGCAAAAGCCTGGCTCAGCCCCGTCCAGTGCTCATCAAACTTCTCATTCTTAAAGGTTTGGAAAATTGTTAACAGACTTTTCTGGAACTGTTCACTTTCTGCAATTCAAGTGTGAATGTCAGGTCCGGTTATCTGAGGACTCAAGCGAGAATAGGTTCGATTAACACCCAATGACTTTCACAAAGAGGATAATTGTCAAACAGCAGCCAAACACACACACGGCGAGTTTGAAAACTTTTGTAGACGATTTATGCAAGGAAACGAATCGAATGCATGATGTGTTGAGATCCTTAAAGCGGGTGTGAAAAAGCGAATGAAACCACATTTTTTGTCGGCTGGAGTGCCGAATAGTAGTGAAATAGAACAAACGGTTGTTGGATTAATAAGTGAATCCTGGGTGTTCCATGATGTATTAAGGATATACGCATATCTGGCCTTCACAACAACTTACCGTTTGCTAGCGATGTATGGAGTCAGTGCGGCTGTCTTTCCAGAAGAGTCTGGAAGAAATTTGTCAGACCCAGAGAGATGGAGGGCTTGGTGATCCTGGAGCACAGGGATGGATCCTACGTGCATTGCAGGGTGCCTCCAACCACTGCACTACACGCGCCTCCTAATGAACTTTGAGACTACTCGAGTTGAATTCAATGTACCAAGACTACGACTTATTAGACCTATAAGATCATAGGTTCTAGTTTTAGAAAAAAAGATTGTCGAATTTGATTTATATGCCTGCTTTCTGGGAAAATTTAAAGCTCGAAGATAATTCCCACGACCGACTTTCCATTAACCTCGGCATTGATCAAATTGTTCTCGATAATCTTGTCGAGCGAACACGAGTGTTACTATATTCTTTATTCCGTTAAAACTGATAGCTGACCACGAAAATAATTTCTCCATGTGCTATGTCGTTTCCAGGGTGTCACGACAGGTAATCGCTGGCACTTGTGGACCCATGACATCTTGCCACCCGGATTCTTCTGGGGCGATAGCGAAAATTTTGATTAGTCGACTGAGACCATTCGAAGTCGATGTAAATATCCAGGTCAAAATTGATACTAATGCTTAACATAGTATCACATAATAGTGGAACATTAACGTACGAAATATGATAACACATAGATTATATTGATTATTAAGATTAAAGGTGGTCGAGGTGGGACAATCGAACGGCTTTGAAAGTAAGAGAGCAGAACATTGCGTATAAGAAGTAACTGCCCGAAGTGATACGTTGAAATTCTGTGAACTATTCCTTTCATGTACTAGTGAACTACTGAAGTAATCCGCTTCACCTGAGAAAGTAGAAGTTCAAAGATCGATCACGCTTGCCATCTCACGTGACCTGTTCGGTCTATGAACAGTGCAGGTATTAGGAAACCTATTTCGAAGGTATTAGAGAGCTTATTTATTTATTTGATGGGGAAGATCAAGCATCACAGCGGTTGTAAGTGAATCGTATTCGTCAAACACTCTTCGTTTGATGAAGAAAAAGAGCCATGATGGCAAACACATCTGATCCTATTTAAGGAATCAGAAATGTGACCGTTATGAGTTTTTCATTTCATCGCGCTCATTACACTTCTCGATGAATCATTCCACTTTAGTTTCGACTTTAGTGTTTTCGTGGTAGTAGCTTCTATTTGAACTAAAGTACGCTCACTGACGTTAGTTCTTTTCAAATACACTGATTAGATAGAAAAATACGTCGATGCTCGTGTCCTTGAAAAATCGGCCAGTTTCCTTTCAACGCGACTAACTAACCAGCTATTAGGATATGTTCACTAAGTGATAGTAAAGATTAAAGCGCTAAATATGAAAACGAAGGGTCATCTCGTTGGCAGCCATCTAACTGCTAATAACTCGAAAGATCGACTTTCTATAAACCTCGGCATGGATAGTTGATATATTTATTTATGTGATCTTATAAACTGATTTTCTTAAGCTGACTTGAGGTTGGTACAGATCTTCGTTGTCGTTGTCGTTGTTTTCGATGTTATTGATCGATGGCTGACGTTTCGGCGACTTCGCCTTCCTCAGAGCCTGGACGTACTTTATGTTAGAATACTTTTATTATTCGAAGGAAAAAAAATCAAGAAAAGAAAAAAGAAACCTTCTTTTCCACCGAAGTCGCCGAAACGTCAGCCATCGATCAATAACATCAAAAACAACGACAACGACAACGACGATCTGTACCAACCTCGCGTCAGCTTAAGAAGATCAGTTTATAAGATCACATAAGTAAATACAACTGCTAATAGTTGCATCACTTTCTTAAAGTTAGTGATATGCTTGATCTTAAGCGTTGACGTATCTAATTTCTTAAATTTGTTTTGTATTCCTGCACAAGTAGCTGAAAACTGGAAAAAAAAAGTATAAAATGCTTTTTAGCAAAGAAAACAAACACTTATGTAGTGCACTTGTTAGTCACATTTTTCGGTGAACGTAGGTGAGGATGTCGTTGGTTCGATTCTTCGCCGCCGCTATTCAATACCTCGTTTTTTCTGTGTTGACAATGGTTGGACAATGGTTTCTATGAGGATAAGAAACGGTGGTTTCATACGGTGTTAAGCGATCGCATATGAAACAAACATTTGTTCAAATATTAAGAATAGAACTTGATTCACTGCGTATTTTTACAGAACAGATCAGCACTAGGTAACTTATCCTTCCATTCTATCCTTTCTAAAATGTCAACAATAGCTATCTCCTAGCAAAACATGATGCTTATTCTATACCATCTATATCATCACTGTTACCACTTTCGAACAGAGTCAGTGGAATAAGCACGCTCTGTGAACTCCTTCAGAAGCATATGTTATTTCTTCTAGTAATCTCCGATAAGAATTTTGACCATCAAGTAGGTGGTCTTGACCTGCTACGGGCTTAACATTCCTCAGAGTCACATCGCTAACGGCGCCTATCTACTTGGTGTTAATGAGCACCATTTTTTCAGGTTATCTTTTTTTCGATAACTCCGACACCACACACAGAGTCGGATGTTCGCTCCAAGCTTTGACTTAGCCTCCTATTCTTTAGCTGGGCAGAGAAGGTGCAACTCCAAGACTAGTCCGTCCTAGGTATGGTCGAAGGGTTTAAAAAAGGAAACAAGGATTGTATTTCATTTCACAAAAGAGTGCTTTCTCAAAGAAGAACGCGAGTAAAACTGTTTCTTTATCTCCTGTTTTGGTGGAAAATAACTGGCTCCTGCGATGTCTAAAAAGAAAAAACGTAAACAAAACAGTGTAAAAATTAAAGAATCATCACGACCAACATCACTGTGCTTTTCAAAGTCGACAAAATCGTGTGGCTCTACCCACAAAGGGCTACAAATTAAAAACTGCGGAGTTTTGGGAATGTCGGAGAATTTCATGAACAAGTAATCAGCTAACCACCAACAAAAGGCTTAAATTGTATTTTCGGGAACGTAGAATTTGCTTGATATAACATACCTCCTGAAGAAAAAGTCGGACAAAAATTGCATGGAAACTCTACAATGGGATGAATGAGCCAAGCATTTGATGGTCATTAGTGCGAAAGGTTCAGGAATGAACAGGACGCGTGTGGTGCAGCGGTAGGCGGCGCCCTGCAGCACACACCTGGAATCGGTCCCCGTGCCCATGAAGGCCCACCAAGCCTTCCATCCCTCCGGAGTCGGCAAATTGGTACCGGACTTTTCTGGATGTAGAAACACTGTCTCCTTACATCAGTACACCACCGCGAGTGTAAAGGTTAGATATGCAACCACCTCCAAACGATGCTTAATGAAGTCGAATGCATGGCACATCTCTCAGAGATTGATCAAAGCCGAGAGCTCTATTCTCTTTTATTAGTGAAAAGCTTAATAGAATTATCCATAACTCCAGTAAGTTAACGGTCTGTCAAAACCTAGTTGTCACCTTTGTTTCTATGAAGATTGTAATTAGTCCTTCAGTTATCTCGGCACTAACATTATTTCATAGCTTTGTATTCATTTCCAACCTTATCACTTCTAATTTGAATTGAACAGCATCATCGTAAGCCACAAGATCACGAAAAGAATTCAATTGTAGCTTGAAAGAAAGAATTTTAATCTTTCTGATCTTCGTTTTCTTTCCCCTTTCTTGACGATTTTTTACTTTTGGTAATCTTCGGTCTTGACGATTAAATCGTACAAATGTGGTCGAAGTGAGGTAGAATTTTATAACTGCTTGTTTCCAAACATCTATTTGCTTCAGAATGTGTTCGCTCAGTGTCTACTCATTGTTCTGCATATTGGCCGTGATTTCAGCTCAGTTAGTTTCACCCACAAATGATAACGGTGGTGGAAAACAACCTGAAAGGTAAAGGTTTTATGCATTGTATTAGCTCTCCATAGTTGAATCAATTTTCTGTAATTAATTCATTTGTTTTAGCCAACCAATTTTACGTACAAAGCGACAGTTCGGCTACGGTGGATGGGGAGGAGGATGGGGCCGTCCATGGGGCGGTGGATGGCGTCGTCCATGGGGCGGTGGATATAGTGGAACATGGGATGGTGGGTTCGGCGGACCATGGGGTGGCGGGTACGGTGTACCATGGGGTGGATATTAAAAGTCGGTAGGACTGTCAACCAATCATAGAGGACCATTATGAGTGATGCTGAAGATCTCTTCGTCGTGAAGATTGTGAATCTGTGATCTGTGAAGATCTGCGAAACTAATTTTTGCTGAATTTGCGCCAATTTAACAGATGAATGAATTTTTAAATACATTATGTTTTCGCTAGAAACTTCGATGAATTCGTTTCAAGCCATTTTTAGTAATCGTGCTGCAAGTCACACATATGTCCAACTTCGTGAATGACTATTTGAAATGAAGACTATCACTTTTTTCTGCGTTCCGCTCTAGCATAAAAAGCCACGGCTGCGATTTCAGATCTAGTAAAAATGGAACTATTTTTAATATTTTTTAAATTTGTTTTATTTATCTGATTCGTCTTCACGTCTATTGTGCGGATCCAGGCACTTCTAACATCAAGCTCGTTTCCTCGCATACATCGTCCACGAAGATCTTAGAAGTATTTACATATGGCTTTGGTTCCTGCTTGAGGATTTTCATTTCATGTTCATTCATTTCATGCCTTCAACAACCGCATCATTGCTAACATACAGCATTCAGCATACTCATTCTAAAACTAATCAGAAACATCAAGAAGCATAGGTGGTTACCAAAATTTCAGTCACGTTCGCGCATATTACAAATGGTCATACTGAGTTGATCTTTGTATTTTCTTGGTGTCCATTACCACTCCCATCCTCTTGTCCATCTGCTGTCAAGTGCACTCTCGTGATCACTTGATTATGTTTCGTTTTAGACAGATATTGCGTTGAATCACAAGGTTACAAGATCTCTCGAGGCCTTCAACTACGATATTTGATTTGATGTTTGAGTATGCGTATGTGTGCGTGCGTGCATGCGTGCGTGTGTGTGTGTGTGGGTTATACATGAGAAAACAACGTTCTGAATCCTTCTGTGCATGACATATAGTATTATGACAGCATTTTTAGTGCTAAGAACACCTTAAAGTACGTATTTGGTGATAAAACCACGATGGAATCCAGTTGACTCAGATGTTGACCAATAGCACTCGGTATGTACGATTGTAGTGCTTATACATGAGGACCCATTTAAGCGGTGTGGTAACCATGGCGTCCATTTTCAGTTTAATGGTTTCTATAACTTTCCACCATATTATCTATCATAATTCGATATCAGGCATATTAGTAAGCTGACAAATGATACAAGTGACTCGATAGCTTATCGATACGAGAGGTAGGGCCAGAAAAGCAAATCTATATAAGTGCCAGGCAACTTGGCTAACAGTTTGCTGTTACTTCATTTTAGTCACCATGCTCGTTGAATTGAATTTGTAGATATAAAAACACCAAAATAGACTCAATGTAGGCTTCAGAATACTTCCAAGTGCTGACAGCAATGTATTTGCGTAATACGTCATGGTAACACACAGTAAATAGTAGCGTACACATCATTTACACCAACATTTACATTTACACCGGTTAAGTAAAGTGTTTTCTACAATCCCGTCATGTTGACAATCACTCAAACCCTACAGATGTTAAAAAAAACTATTTTTTCTTTTTTTCTAAAATTAACTAAAAGACCAGAAGGACCGCAGCCGAGAAAAAATTGCTCGTATTCCGCTATGCCACCCACGCTAAACACCACACATCAGTTATGGGTTAGTGTAAAGTTAGTTAATACAGCAAAACGGATATTAGTTTCGAAAACCTTTGCGGTCAAGCTTGTAGATTTCATGGTCATTGAAAGCAAACTCCCTATTTTATAAAGCCTGTAATCTACTCGCATATTGTGACATTCTAAAATTTTTAAATAATCACTTTCACCCGTGTCACTCGTCGTTCCGTTGCTAATCGAATGAGTGGAGCGGATAAACCTTTCAATTCTCCCTGCTCTCGGAAAGAGTAGCCGAGTCAAGTCTCTCTAGGGACTCGTTAAGCATCATATCTTTTAAATGAAGAACACCGACCATCGGGTCTGGAGTTTTTCTGCAGTGCGTTTGACAACCCGAAGAATCTAGTGACTAACGGCTATTGTCCATCAGCTGTCGATTATACGCATTGGGTGTCCAGCCCACCTTGCTTTGTTAGACAGTTTCGAGTACAGAATGCGTCTTTAATTTTGATCGTTTACGTAGATTGGAGTTTCGGATCCCTTTCCACACTTGCTAGTAAGGGATGCTCCTCACATCGTTCTTTCCACTGAGCATTGAATAACGCTGAGTGATTTTTCATCCTGTTTACGCGGCGACCAGGTTTACGCAAACGCTAACGCAGGAAGTACCGTTGAGTCGAAAAGGTGAGCATGGAGTCGGGTGTTCTTTGTTCTCCATATTACATCCTCGATGCTTCTGAAAATTCACCAGGCTGCTCGCTTACTCTGGCTTAACTCTGGGGCTGTCATCCATCATGTTGATTTCCCCGTCTAGATATAGCTGGAAATACATGCTGAGTTGAGCATGAAAAGAGTCTATAAAACCAAACCGTTCCTCATGAATATGGTTTCTGTGAGATTCAGTGAAAGACCAATCCTCTAACAGCCGCTATCAAAGTCGGAAAGCTTTCGTTCCGCCTGTCCAATACTTGATGTTTTAAGAAGGATATTATCAGCAGTCCTCAAATGGTCTAGCTGCACAATAATGGTTTTTACTCCTGTGTGGTTTCATTCCAGTGGCCACATTACGCTGTGAGGATTGGCGGAAAACAATTATGGAGAGATCCTATTGCCTTGTCGAACCCCTCTTCTTGCGTCGACATTAATATGTTTATAAATATTTTAGTTGTGAGATGTTTATGCAGCTCATGAAGAATATCTATATACTGAGTAGGGACGGCAGTCTCGCCGTCCAGAGCTTCTATAACGGCTTCCATCTCAAATGATTTACTAGTTTTACTCAAATCGACGAATGTGAGAAGAAGTGGTCTCTTGTGCTGTTGTGGTACTTCAATGAGCTTTGTTGTCTTGTGGATGTATTCCATCGTACTGAATATTTTTCGAAATCCTGCTTGTTGATATGGTTCTCCTTCGTCCACTGTTCTGTCAGTCCTCTTTAGGATAACTGGAGTGAAAAGTTTGTAGACGACAGACAGCAAGCAAATTAGGTTTTAAGTACTGATATTGTGGAGGTCGCCGTTCTTCAACAATAGGATAGTTCTTCTGTTCTACTTTTGAATATGAAGCTTGCATTCTCATAAGTAATGCGTGAAAAGCCAAGTCGGTGTGATGATGGCGATTGGCGAAAACTTCTCCGGGTATTCAAATCATATCCTGTCGAAGCTTAGTGTTATTCGATTTTTCACTAGCGAAATAGCATGTCAGATTTCGGAAGGGAGATCCAGTGGGACGACGTATCCATCCTCCTTTATTTCAGGTGTAGACAGGAGAACGTGGCTATCGAAGATATCCAACTGACAACCGTGAATAATTTTCTCTATTACCTTTCCAGAAGATGTAACTGTTCCGTCTGGTCGAGGAAGCTCAGACACCCTGGTTCTGTAATTGGCAAAGTTCCTGTTAGTTTTACAAAACGACTCCTTTCATCGCCTGTATGCATTGTTTCGCAAGTTCGGACGTGTGTTGGAAGTTGTTTGTAACTGGTAGGATTCCACTTTAGCGTTTCAACCCCAGTGCTTTTGGAGATAGACTTTTCTTGATGACTTTCGAATTTTCCTTAAGGTATAGAAATTAAATATTGCTGTAATTCCCAAGTCCAGCTTTCTATTAACCTCTAATTCGCTATTTTCTTGATAAGCACCCACGAGGATGTAGTTATATACTTCTTGTTGACTTTTTATTTGCTACTACTACAAATTTTCACGATGGGGTAATATGTCAATACAACTATAATGCTGTTGAGATAATTGCGAATATTCGGACCGCAGGTGTTGGCGGTGGGGAGCGAACGCGCCATTACCCTTTCCGGGAGCTAACATGTTCACCACCACACCATCCGAATCCTTCGTTTCGCCTGTCTTTCAGCTAATGTTCTATCTACCAATGTCATCAGCAATTACCCGTCAACGGAATTAACTTGGAGAGCATTTGAAAATTTGTATAAAACGGCATACTATATACTATTTATTCCAAACAGCTGGCGCTTCTTCGTACATCCTCTTTCAGGATCTGCACTGATCAGTCTAACTGCAAATTACTCAGCAAACGACCTCCAACAACAAAAAACAAAAACACATAGTTTTCAATATCTATTCTTTCTTTGATGAGCTTACACGAGGTTGATAATGATGTTTATTTTCGGCTAACGTTTCGACGCCTTCGTCTTCCTCAGAGCCGACGATCCGAGTCGATGTATATTATTAAGCGTGTATATTAATGTATCGTGTATTATGTATATTATATTCGAAATATTACTACGCTTTATGCTAGCTGATAACAACACCGACTTTTGCACGATGTGCGCAATGATGTATGTCCGAAAGAAAAACAAGTTGTTATCACCGGACATTATCATTATATCGACGATAAAGTCACTTTAAAGTTTCACCCTTACCTTTTTCTATAGTCATCCATCTCTATTAAGTAGGTTTGAAGTTTTTTTCGATAGTTTTAAGTTCACAGGAGGAAGAAAAAGTCATAATAAAAATTAGTGGAGAAAAAGGAGTTTCTAGAAGTGCTTGTTTAGGCTCGCATGTTAAAGCACACCTCTTATTTCTAAGATTTTAACTGTGTAGCCGATGCAAGTTGCGTTTCCGAGCTAAATCTCGGAGGAGATGCTTTAAGTACTTTGCTGATAATGACCAAAATCGTAGTTTAGTTCAGGTGTCAGTTCATGTCTGGGCGGCATAAGAGAGCGCTTAGAAGTCCTTCGAATCGATAAGGTGAGCATGAAATTTCTGTCTTTTTAGTTCGCTGGTGGCTTCTCTGGACGACACAACAAGACTTATGGTACTTTCATTTTCCTTTCATTTTATAGTATTTGCTGTGTTATTCCCCTTGATAATGGGCGCCCAAGACATGCGTACAAGTCGGCCTTGTAATAAGGCAGTCACTTAGTCC